CCCAGAATGGAGGAAATAACTGCTTAGTTTTACATTTGCATGGAGACTCCACCCTGATGGGGTTTGCACGACAAATCCCGAGGTACGATCACTGTAGTGGCCAAGAACAACTCCGTTCCTGACAGATGTGATGAGCTCTTTTCTCGTAGGGATTTGAATTCCAGACCGTATGCATAATGGGTGGCCCAAAGGTCTAAATCCATGGTGGTATGACAATCCAAATTCTAGTCCTCCGTGTCCGGGGTGTAAGCAAGCTTTCTACCCTATTGTGTTCATTGGTGTTGATAGAACTCAGTCAGAGGCAATGCCAAGAACTGGCTAGCTCAGCACTATCGAAAGGAACCGTGAGTCCTTCCAAGACATTCCCAGGAGAAGTGCAGAGCTCAGAAGGCTTTCTATAGCCTTCCAAAACTGAGACTGAGCACATAGATGCTCAGCAAACACCTGTTGAATAAATACATAGATGAATGAATGAGTGAATGAAAGAATGAATGAAAGGAGCCAATTTGTAGGTCTGCTATTTCTGCCATATATCAGCCTGGGAAGCTACTGACATTATCTCCTCACACGGTCTGTCAGATCATCCTGTACCTTATATCTGAGCCGATACCATGATGGACGGTACCACGTGCAGGCCCCACATTTGGTACAGGGGACGGTTCCAGAAGAGCCAAGGCATTACTTTATGTGCCGCAGGCCCTGGGCCTGGGAGATTATCTCGATTTCCCAGTAGACCTGGCCATGTCACTGTCTCTTCCTGCCACCTCACTGCCCCGTTTTTCCGGCAGGACAGTTAGCTTTCTGCTCGGCCTGGCTGTGCGGGTAACTGTAATGGCAACCTGGACCTCATTCAAAGCTATCGGAATTTATTGGCCCACGTGGCAGACAGACTGGAATGTTCTGAGCAGTGGGTTTCAAACATCACACATGGCCTCAGCTTGCTGGGGGCCAAGAGTCTGGGATTTATTAGGTCTGGGGCGTTGCATTTCTAATACGGTTCCAGGCGAGGCTGACACCGCTGGCCCAGGGACCACACTTTGAGAACCACCAAAGGGTGAACTCCCTTGACACTGGGGAAACGAAGCAAGAGCCCTCTGCTTTCGTTCCCCTGCCCCTAAAATGTCTTTGGCTGGGGTCTCAAGTTAATGGGAGAAAAGCAGTTCAGGCTTGACCGAAACAGGAAACAGAAGAACCTGATGGGAGGGGCCCTGAACTCCTGCGTTAACCGGGCCCTTTCTTCTGGGGCTTAGCACCTGGTTGCCCTGCAGGCACCGATCAAGTTTCCGAGTGAAGCGAGCAGGTGGGGCCTTGGCCTTGTCGTCCTTCAGAACGGTTTTCCTCGTGTCCCGTTGTTAATAATGCAAAGCTTTACTGAGTCTGTCGTTCCACCCTCACAAGACAAATAATCACCCCTCAAGCTTTGGCCCCAGGACCAGTCTGCTGTAGAACGAGATCCAAGTTGAGTAAGGCGCCTGGGTGCGACTTTCTGGAAAAAGCTCTGGGGGCGCAGTTGCTAATCAGAAAATGAGTTACGGGTCTCTGTGGTGGGAGGAAGAACTGGTATTAATTATGTTCCAGAAAAGGAAAAGCCGTGGGTAGTCTGACTTTAAAACCTTCAGTTGACTGGGAGAATAGATATCACCTTTCATGTTCCCACAATGGAGACCTTAACAAAGGAAATGCATTTGGCTGAGGTGGGAATTAGAATATGTTGTGGGGCGGGGGAGGGGGTGACCCAGACTGAGTCTGAAAGGAATTCTGAGTTTTCTGGGTGTGCTGGTCTGCAGGTGTCTTAATGACAAGAGTTTATATTTGGAACCTTTTGATTTCTGGCTGAAGGAGAGAGAAGTTTAAGGGCTGGGGAGTAGTTCCCAGGAAAAAAGATGAGAACAGCAGCGTGAGAAAATTATTACTAGGTTAACATTAGAGTGCAAAGCTGAACGATGCGTTATTCCTGCAATAAATGGAGTAGATGAACTTTCACGCCACAAACTCAGGCAAGGGGTGTGGCTTTTTAAATGCTTTCTGTTACACATTTTAATTTCCATTTTCTGTGGTCTATCGATGGCATTTTATTGCAGCCCATGTAAGACCAGACCCCATTTTTCCCACGGCTATGTTCCCAGCGTTTGGGAAACGAATTCGATTCATGTGATAACTACCCTCTGAAATTTGCTGAGACATCTTCTGGAGCCCTATTGAAAATATAATAAATATTTCTAAATGTGCCGTCAGATGAAAGTTGTTAATTGCGTTGTTCGACCCTTCTGTGTCTTTGCCGAATGCTTTTGGCTGCTTGACGCGTGATTTATCGAGAGCGTTGTGCTGTCATCTACTATCACAGTGATTCGTCAGTTTATTCCTGCAGGGACCATCACTTTTTGCGTGTATCTCTACTGAGTCTATTTAATAACGCGCATCCATGTTTAGAATTGTTACATTGCTTGGGTAACTTTAACCTTTTTTTTAATGATTATTTTTTAGAGAGACAGAGAGAGAGAGAGAGAGAGACCGAGCACGAGTGGGGGAGGGGCAGAGAGAGAGGGAAACACAGAATCTGAAGCAGGCTTCAGGCTCCTAGCTGTCAGCACAGAGCCCGACGCGGGGCTCGAACCCACGAACCTCGAGATCATGACCTGAGCCAAAGCTGGAGGCGTAACTGACTGAGCCACGCAGGTGCCGCTTTGCTTTCTTCATTTAAAAAATCCTCTCCTAGGATCAATATTCATATATTTCCCTTGATCCCCGCTTCCTAAATCTCACGTCACAGATTCTGTGGGGATGTGCCATTTTCTTAAAGTCCAACCGAGTTGTTTCCAGATGCAGCCTTTCTGTCTACGTGTTTATCAACAAGTTTTTTTTTCTCTTTTGTAAATCGAGGTGAAATTCACACCATAAAATTAACCATTTTGAAGGGAGTGATTCTACAGCATGTCGTACAATCACAGGTGTCGCAGCCACCTCTGTCTCATTCCAAGTTATAACAAGCTCTCCCCTTGTTCTGTTCTATGATGTACAGATGGTCCCCAACTTACGGTGGTTTGACTTGCAATTTCTTTGACTTTATGATGGTGCAAAAGCACTTTACATTGAATAGAAACTGCACCTCGAGTTTTGAATTTGGATCGTTTCCCAGGCTGGAGACACTCCCTCGTGATGCTGGGCGGCACCATGGCTCACAGGTAGCCACGTGATATCCTGGGTCGACAATCAACACAGTGTCAACCATTCTGTCTCCATACAGCCCTTGTGTTTTTTTCAGTACAGGATTCAGTGAGGTCACATGAGATATTCAACACTTTATTACAAACTAGGCTTCGTGGTGGATGGTGTTTCCCAGCTGTCGGCTCACGTAAGTGTTCTGAGTACTCGTAAGGTTGGTGAGGCTAAGCGGTGATGCTCGGTAGGTTATGCGTTATAAATGCATTTTCAGCTTATGATGTTTTCCATTTACAACAGGTGTACCAGGATGTAACCCCACTGTAAGTCGAGGAAGATCTGTATTTTATTAGGCCTCATTCTGAGTTCTAATTTTGTTCAAAAAGATCTATGCACACCCCGTATCTTCTGGAGGAGGGGTGGCTGCCCTTGCCCTCAGTCCCCGTCCACTCTGCTGTTAAAATAACCATACATCTCAGCTGAGGTCAAAACGCAGATGAATGTCTCCAATCCTACCTCATCTGGCTGTGGTCGTTGTCCTGAGCTAGGGTTAACTAGGGTGGCTTCTTCTAACTCAGAGGAGTCCTGTCCTACTGACTTTATTTTTTAATTTGTTTTTGCTTTTCGAAATTGACATACGATTGGGGGGCCTGGGTGACTCAGTTGGTTGAGCATCTGCCTTTGCTTTCAGCCCAGGTCACGATCTCACGGTTCGTGAGGTCGAGCCCCGTCTGGGGCTCTGTGCTGACGGTGCGGAGCCTGCTTGGGATTCTCTCTCTCCCTTGCTCTCTGCCCCTCCCCTGCTTGTGCTCTCTCTCCCCAAATAAATAAATAATACTGCTTGCTTGTTATAGATGCTGAGTGCTGGATTCCAAGAAAACCACAATGCCCACTAAGGGTTGTTGCTAGAGCACTGAGTGACTCTCCCCAGCTGCGTGCTTTAGAGTGAGGGTATGTAATTCCCACGCGTGGGATGGGACACTGCGGGGATCCAGCACCCTCCCCCCTTCCCCCCACTTTGTCCCCGTTGCCCTCCAGACATCCCCATAGGCAGAAAGGAGGGGCATGTGAACAGATGGCACTTTGGCCACTAAAATACAGACACACAGGAGGGGAAGGGTCTGATTTCCTCTTTCTGTTTGGTGCAGACCCCACTTCTCTAATCTGGAGCGGCAGGAATCGGGGGAGGGACAAAACGTCTTCCAAACGTTCTGATTGTAGGTGACAGGTTTGGGTGGGATACACCAGGGCTTCTGACTGCTCTTGCCAAGGTGTTCCAGTCAGGCGTTCCCACTCTGGCAACAGGTTGACTGCCGGCATGAGAGCCTTGTGATTGTGGTTGTTTATTTTCCCAAATTTTTGCATTTGGCTTTCTCGTCATAAATTCTTTAATCCACTGGAAAGTTGGGAGGGCTGCATCAGGAAATCTGCAGAGTTGTTGCTGTTGTTGTTGTTAAATGATACTCTGAGGCCCATACACCCAGGTACCAAGGGCACAGCATGGTGGTTGGTGGGGGCCGTCTGGAAGATTGTCGAATTGGGGCCTTTCATGAATAAATGGTGCCTGAACGTTTGATGGCACTCAGATTCTTGTTCCCGAAGCCTCCATTGGATAAGGGGTCCTAGGATGACTCTGAAGACACGTTTCATGCGGAGGAAGGGTCATGGTCTTAGTCTCAGCCACCTGGTCGGACATCAGGAAGAGACTGAAGGGAGAACCCCCAGTCACCGCCGTGTCCTCTGTCCTGTGGGCCGGTCACTGCACAGCCATGTCCCATGACTTGGCAAGGTCACCGCCGCCCTGGGAGGACACACACACCGTGGGTTCTGGAAATTCTCACTTCTTCGCAGCTTCTGCAATACTGTTCCCTTCCTTCTCAGGGGGGATCACCCACAGCCCCCTGTGTATTCGCAGGTCCATGGCAGCGACCGAACAAGAGAGGCAGCTCCGATGACCTGAATTTCATTTATAAGCTCAGTCATTTTACTTCGCTTCATTGAGTTTTTTTTCATGGATCTGATCACCACCTCACACATATTTTTTTCTATTTGTTTCTCCCACTGAAATAAAAGTTTGCTTTTTTCTGAACTGTATCACGATTGCTGAGAACACAGCAAAATAAGTTAATGATGACAAAAATCAATATCCGTGGCATTAAGGCAGGTCTTTGGGTGACTCGAGTGGCAGTGGCGTAGAGCTGGTTGTCAGGACGCCCGACGCCCATCCACGGCCGGCCCCCTTGCTCCTCTCCCGAAGAATGGAAGAGTGCTCTCTTCTACGTTGGCTGGCCTTGGGCTCACTCTCCTGCTATGAGGAGCCATCTTGCTGAGCGTGTCAGGCAGAGTCAGCCCTGCCCACACCTCAAGGCTCCTGGCTCACAATATCAGAGGAACGGCTTCTGGCTTTGGAGTTGGCATTGGCTGGAGCATTACATTTTTAGCAGTTTTTGGTTAATGTTTATTTTTGAGAGAGAGAGAGAAAGAGACAGAGTGTG